CCCAGGCACGTCGACGCCCAAAGCGTCAACCGGTTCCCAAGAGTCGAAACTCTTCGTGTATTCTTTCCATTGTACAAGAATCTGAAGCTTTTGCTTCACATGGCGGTGGGCCACCAGCTTTCCAACAAGGAAGCGTGTGTTCCCACCCGCATCCATGGCGCCCGATAGGAGCGGCGATTACGCCCAGCTATTCGCGGCTTCCTATCCTGTTGTTCAGTCGCAGGCGGAGATCGCTGCGCTGAAGAAAGAGGCGGCGCATCTTTCGAGTAAATGACTTCGGACCTACGCGCTGTGAATACGAGGAATCGTCAGGGGTATGACCGCCTGAAACTTCGTTTGGACCTGCATGAGCGATTGGTGATGATACACCCGCGTCAAAAGCGGAGTCCTCCTCGATCACCGAGTCCTCCTCGATCACCGAGTCCTCTGTCGTCTCTCTCGTATACGGGAAGTCGTTCAGCTTCCCCGTCGCCTGATCGACGTCATCATCGGTCTCGTTAGACCGATGTGGATATGTGATCTCTTGTGGATACACATACCGCTTCAGACGACCCACATAAAACGGGGTGCGTCTTCATATATGGTGGGAGAGTGAGCCTATAAACTTAGGCCTCCAACCTCTTCGACCACCGTAAATGGCCCAATGAATCGGGGCAATAGCTTAGTAGTACCAACCAGGTAGTACATAAATTGCTTTTTTAGGTAGGGTAGAAGTAAGATATATCACTTCGTCCCCGCACTAAAGTGTTCATTGTTTTTGCGACCATGTTGGTATTGTTTTTGCTTGCCCTGTGCGCTTTTCGTCGCGTCACGGAATTTACGTGTAATGGCTAATCGCTCATCCACAATGCGCTGAGCTTCGCTTACGTTTTTAGCATCCATATCGCCTATGAAACCCTCAAGAGGTCGATCATGGGTCGACGCTGTTGACAACACTATAGTGTCATCATCAAGGAGCACTGGCATTTCTTGCCGTTCCTCCTCATTGACACCTATAGGTGTCGTGACCACTGCTAAACTAGCAGTGTCACTAGGGCAATTTTGATTTTCTTTGGCATTCGCATCGAGCGAAGTGAGGGGCCTCACCCACTAAGACTTGGGCTGCGCATAACGAGACTGGCTTCCGAGGATGGCGCATTCCGTTGATATAAAATAGTGTTCCACCCGTACTGGCGTAAACACTGTTATTAGTAGCGAGCTTCACGAAGGACAATGCTTCTTCATTCTGTAGGAGTCGCTACAGTGCGCAACACATCCGCCAAGACTCGATTGGCTCGTTCCTTTTGGCTTTCGGTATGATCGGCTGTTGACATGTGGAGCTTGCTTCCCAGCAACTCAAACACATGACGTCAAACCCTTACGTCAAACGCGGATCCCGATCCGATACTATGGATTCGGGCATCCCGTGTAGTCAGCACACACGATCAAGAAACAAGAGGACAGCCTCTTTTCCTGAGATCTTGGTGCTACATGGCATGCATTATCTTGCTCAGTCTGTCTACAATGACAACTAGTCCCGTCCTGCATTTATGATCAGGCGGTAAGGCAACCATGAAATCCAAACTGACCGACTTCCAAAAATCCTTTTGAATCGGTAGTGGCTTCAATGACGCACTTCTAGAAGGTGCAGGCTTCATGCGCTGACACTCTTCGCAAGAGCGAATATAGTTGGCCACCCATGGAGCCAATATAGTTTCTCTGTTACTCGTAAGAATGTCTTTTCACGGCCCAGATGTCCACTAGATGGCGCATCATGTCACTCGTGAAGTATTATCAGCTTGAGATCTGTGTCATGGGGTCCATAGATTCTCAAGGGATCACAAGGTGACAGCTGATGCCATAATAGGCCATCACTGTAACTAAAGCGATTTACCTTCGATTCAGGTGCGACAGAAGTGTAACTTTTCGTCCGCCAAAATGACGCGACAATGGTCTTCCTGACTGTAGTACTCCTTTACATCGGAGGCCATTGAGCTCGTCACATGTTAGGCCTTCATGGCTGCCAGTGTTGACGACTCACCTTGTGCTTTTGCACGAGACACACTTTCCTGGTGTCTTGCCTCGAAGTGTGGTCTGCGCGATAACGCGTCAGCCAAGACATTCGACTTACCTGGCTTATATTCACCTTTGAAATCAAATCCAGAGAAGAATGTTAGCCTTCTCGCCATCCTAGGCGAGAGGTGCGGTGAATTTATAGTGGTCCGCAGTGATGCGTGATCCGTATAAGCCACAAATGGTTCGGTGCCCAAGAGGCGCACACGGAACTTAACAAGAGCATACTTAATTGAAAGTAACTCCTTGTTATGCACAGGGTAATTCAGCTCGGCAGCTTTCAAAAGCCGGGACTGATACAAAATGACACGGTCAATGCCGCTGTCATCCTTCTGCATGAGCGCTCTGCCAATTGCAAAATTGCTTGCATCGCAGACGACGCTAAAGGGCTAATCCGCGTCTGGCAATGCCAAGACCGGTGCCTCTACAAGAGATTGCTTCACCGATGTGAACGCATCTTCTTGCTCCTTTGACTAAGTCCATTCTGTATCCTTTTTCAAAGATCAGAAAATGGCTTAGTCTGCTCCGCATAATTCTTGCTGTACTTATGCAAGTAAATAGCGAGCCCAAGGATTTGGCGCAGATTCTTCACGTGTCGTGGGACTGGCCATTCCTTTACAGCCTTTGCCTTTTCTGGGTCTGCTCGTACACCGTGTGCACCAACAATGCAGCCCAGTACAGGTATCAGGTACCCCTATGACGCACTTTTGCTAGTCAATGTATAATTGGGCGTCACCCAGAGTCTGCAACACAGCGCTTAAATGACGCTTGTGCGACTCTATTGCGCTCAGACCGTCCTCCGCCCTACTATCCTCGAATACATCGTCAAAGTAATGGGGCGCGTAGACACGGTGCTGGCGCATCACGTGAGCCACCACTCGGTTGAATGTTGCCGGAGCAATCTTCAACCCTTGTGTCATCACAAGCCACTCCCACACAGCATAACGCTTGAAGTGTTTACTGCCATTTTGTCTTCATCAGTATTGTTCATGAAAACTTGATAGTAGCCATCCTTCAGATACAACTCGAGAAAGATAGTTGACTTTCCCATGGAGTTTAACAAGACATTTTTCCGCGGGATCGGTGTTTGCGCCGGAATGGTGGCCGTGTTCAGCTTATTATAAGCATGAACCACGCGCCATCCATCCGTACACAGAAGGTAGGGCTGCAGTGAGGAGACTTGCTCTCACGTACAAGCCCCGCCTTGGCTCGCTTGTCGAAGATCTCATCGATGAAATCGACTTGTTCCTTTGGCAACGGCCATTGCGCTGGTCACACAATTCTTGGTGCCACGCTCCAGGTCAATCTCGTGCCTGGTGCCCCTATCGGTCGATAGGCGGCTCGGCACTTCTGCTGGAAACAAATCACGGTGTTTCCACGAAACATCATAGAACGGGCTGTCCTTCAAGGCATCCCAGCTTTGAGCATTAAGCCGTTTCTTCTTGTCGGTCTCTAAGACGCTATCATCCATTGTGGATGAAGAGCAACAGTCCAACACGTTTTCTTCTAAAACTGGTGCGACTATTTCATGGATCTTTTCTTCCTTCAAATCGGACAGGAACAGATCCCATGTCATTTTCTAGAAATTAACTATCTCCTCGGCAGATGCCAAGACAAGTTGGAGCACCTCAACTGAGGATGCCTCCGGCATCTTGTCTTCGACAACCTCGAACAACTCGTTCGTAGGTCCGTCCTCTTGAACCGAGAATGATTCAAGGGTCACTCGTTTCGACGTGCCCTTGATCGTCTGAATACATCTGGTGCTCGCTGTTCGAGTCACCACGAAATTTGACCTGGTCGTTGCTACGCATTCTTGCAATCGCACCAGGCGCATGGCTAGTGGCGCTTGACTTACTGTCAGCCCAGAATCAACTGACTAGTCGATCTAGGGCTTATAACGTGCCAATCATGGCATGCCCAGTATGCAATCGAATGCAATATTCATCGCGATCACCAAAAAATCATCATTACTGCGAAAACCATCAAACGTGTACGGCAACGACACTTCGCGCCGCGATACGCGGTGTGGTATCCCGTCAGCTAACTTGACGACGACTTGGCCAGGTCCCTCACGGACCTGAATGCTGGGAGGCAGCATCGATAAACAAGATTTACGAAAGAAATTATTTGTTGCTCCTGAATCCAGGAGTGCTCGCAGAGGTCGCCGGACGCCGGCGACATGTAAACTGACGATAATCAGACGTGAATCACCACTCGTAGTGGTGGCATTTAACCGTGCGCGTAGCGCAGTCTTCACCGTCCCCGGTCTTCTGGTCCGGAACCTATGGAGATCGACGTGATTGAGTCGTCGGGCGACCGACGACGTGTCATTTCCCATAAGAGTGATGCTCGCACCATGCGTCAAATGGTTTGCTTTCGTTGTCGCAAGCCAGGGAATCGCGTGGCTGAGTGCCGTGCGCCAGCGCCGATATCGGTGCAAGTAGTGGATGCCCATCATGAGGGTGCTGTACCGGCCGCATGTTCAAAAAGCGGTCGGAACCAGTAGGTACAGGGAGCCCTACTGGTTGGAACGGAGGTCCAGGTCCCCCGGTGGCAGCCCAACCTTCCAGGTTTTGTCTGAGGCCGTAGTTCAGCCATAGTATTAATGTCTGAAGCCATAGTATTAATGTCTGTAGCCGTAGTATTAATCTCCTTGGCCGTAGTTTAAATGTCCTTGGCCGTAGTATAAATGTCTGTGGTCGTAGTCTTAATTTCCTTGGCCATAGTATGAATGCCCGAGGTCATAGTAGTAATGCAGTAATAGTTTCTGTGACCATAGCCTTTTTTAATGTGCAGTAGTTAGTATTTCCAGTGTACGTACAAGCCACCGTTATACATATAAAAAATACGTATTGCGAATCCGATTCCAACACCTTTTTCTAATCTAATATGTATTATCTTCAGAAAAATCCAGCCCATACTCAGATCAAGTGCACAATCAAAAAACCATGTCGTCACGACCTCTAAGCGCGCGTAAGGGTCTGCGCAATGACTTGGGCTCAAACAACTGCTTCCTTAACGTCATCATCCAAAGTCTATGGCACGTACGCAGCTGTCGCGTGCTCATTTCTACGGGCGACCACGCAGTACATCATCGCTGCGGTGGTAAACCCACGAACGCCAGCACTTTGGAAACAATGACCATCACTCCGTGTCTCTTGTGCGAATTAGAGCAGATTTTTATCATGTACCAGTTTGCAGAACAGCCGGTACTGGATGTAAATCGTGTACGTCTCGCTCTAAATGAGACATTTGCTCTTGGAGCCATGAACGACGCGACCGAGACACTGGAAGCCATTTTGGATGCTCTACACTATGATACATTCAACCGAATGCTGCTATTACGTCGAAGAAGCCCATATAATGCCGCTATTATTGATGGATCAAACAAGATGGAAGAAATGTCCGAGTCTTTACGTCAAGATGCATCCGCTATAATCTGTGAGCCACAGTGTGTGGCCCACAGATTGTTTCAAATGAACTTGATGGAACTTAAAGTCTGTGCTTCTTGTGGTCATACAGCTGAGCCTCTTATGAACACGGACTTTTTGTATCGAGTTTATGCTCAAGAGCTGCTGAATAGTGCAAGAGCTGGACTAGAAGGAGAGAAGAAGATGACATTGGAGGAAGTACTGCGACTTGAAGCACAGGCACAAGATGTGGCTGGAACTTGTGATGCATGCGAGAAAGGAGGACAACGAGCGTTAAGCAGGTGGATTCTTACACTGCCCATGGTGTTTTCCATCAGCATTATCTGGTCCAGTAGCCATGTGAACAAGACGGACATCAAGGACTGGATGGTACTTTTATCCTCGCAGTGTACATCTGGCAGAGATGGCAAAGAGTTGCAGCAAACTCTAGATTTAGGCCGCATCTTTCGATTGGATAAATCGGCAGAGGTATCATCGTTGTACTCGTTCAGAGGTCTTGTGTGCTACTATGGACGACACTATGTGGGCTTCTTTGCAAGTCGGAGTCTGGATGAGGCGGGAGTTGAACGTGAACGCTGGTTCTTGTTTGATGATACACGTGTTAAACTTGTGGGAACATGGGCAGATGTCCGCCTGCGTGTCGAGCGCGGAGGGTATCAGCCAACGTTGCTATTCTACGAACGCAACGAAATTGAGCTTGAAAATCTTGAGAAGATATCTGCTGAGATTCACAAGTGGTGGGAAGCATCAGCTGATGAACCGGATAGTGCAACACCGGACGAAATGACGGAGAAAAGCTCTGCAGATAACATGGTTAAGAATGGCAAGGGGGCACCACACGAAATTGAGCTCAGTGGAGGCATTGAGGACGAACTGTTGGCAAAAATGGAGCGAAGCGTCCGTATAACTCAGGAACATCCACTTTCGCCACTGATTTCTAGTATTCCTAGCAAATTGCCGACAAGTCCGATCTCGCTTCCTCCCCGAGCACCAAAATTAATGACTGTGGAGAATGAATTGCAAGTAATAGACGGGTGGCGCGACGAGGATATGCATCTGCATTTAGCCCACAAATCCGCTCAAGACTCTCTATCAAGACTTAATGGCATTTTGTTAAAAGACAAAGGTCCGCAATCTACTCCTGTTGATGGCCGAGCAGTCTTTCGCCTGGCGATGTCACAATCTATGCAGCGCTCGGTTCGCTTACGTGACTACTCCGTGCGCCACTCCGTCGAAAAACAAATTGATGTAAATCCTGACAAGATTTTTGAGGATGAAGCTCCATCCATGGAAGAGGATACTCACGCAGAAACTCGTCCTATTAGCCCTGCACTGACATTGCCTGACAAAGTGGAGGCAGAAGCAGAGCAAATCCCGCTAAAGGTGTTTGATGTTCGCCTCAATGCTTCGGACGGAGGAATCGGCTTACTTTTGGATGAAACTACAAACAACGGCTATAGGCCTCTATCAACATCAATGGACTGTAAGAAAACGTTCACCGTATCTGGTTTTGAAGTCAATGGTGCAGGTGCTAAGCTACCAGCCGAAGCTAGTGGGGCAATACGCACGGGAGATATTCTTGTGGGCATCAATGGTCACATGTTGAAAAACGAAGAACTTGTAGACGTGCTGGAAATGCTTTTAATGTCGTCCAATCCAGTTCAGCTCAAATTTCATCGTACTCAGCCGTGGGCATGTCCTCGCTGTACGCTTTTGAACGAAACAATGATGACAACATGTGCAGCGTGTGGACACGCAATACCCTGGAAAGAGTGATTACAGCCGTGCCAAAGACTCCTTCTGGACATAATCACCTTCATTATTTGTGACCTGATTGTCCGTGACACCATATGACTGGCAACGAAGCTGGAAGTTGCTCGAGTAAAATAATCAGCTGCGTGTTTATGGCGTTCATCCATGATGAAAAAACGCAGAATCGGCCATCAGGATGATATTTGTTGCATGCGTAAGCATCTACTTTGCATCTTTTAGTGGAAAAGAATGCTGTCATGGTGCGTGCGTGTCAACTTCAACTAGCCCGCGACGCTTCAATGTCGCCTGCTAAACTCTTGGCGACTCCGACCAAAGTAATCTACGTGCCTTCATTTCAAATCAAAGGTGCAATTGACTTGGTTTCAGTATGAACAATGCGCGATGTGTGCTGCCATATGAATCGACTCTACTAAATAAAAGAACCCAGCTGAAGCCCCTCCGCTTTTCACGACTGGTGGCAGTTATACTCTACATCTTTCTAAGCCCGTCCTGTATCTTCCTACTGACTGAGCGTGGACAAATCAAGCCAAATCTTGTACTATTAATAAATAATAGCGGACACGCTCTTATCCATCGGGGACAGCAGTCATTCTAGATATAGATATCCGACTAGACACGAAAGATGTCGCCAAACGTCCATTTTCCACGAGAATGACGTAGGTCCGTGGGTACGTCTTTCATAAAAGAAGCATGGTCCAATAGACAGACAAACGGTCATATTGCAATTTAGCTCGTAGTAGAGACTTATCCCATTCCCATTACTACTTGCTTCAGTCTCGTATTCATTATGGCGGCTGTGCTTTCCTCTATATCGCTGACTTCGAGTCACGTCAACGATTTGACTGTTCAGATAACCGATCCGTTTGCCATTCACGGTGCTAAGAAGCGCCCGCTGACACCCACTCGTCTACTGGACGAGATGCCGGAAGTGTCGGTGGATAACCTCACGACCCCCAAGCGGGCACCTAGTTACTCCTCTATTGGCTACACTGTGATCCCCAAGAGTGACACTGTTGTCGCTATCGACCCACACGATCTCAAGCTGCTTAAGGTCATTGGTCGTGGCACCTACGCCCATCAAGTGGCCTTGGCCAAGCACAATGGATCTCAGAGTCTGTACGTCGTCAAGACGCTGGATAAGAGTAAGCTGCTGCTGCACAAACAAGTGGTACATACGCTTACGGAAAAGAAGGTGCTTGAAAAGCTGTACGGCCATCCATTCATCATCAAGCTCTACTCGGTCTTCCAGACGGACCATGATCTTAACTTTGTACTCGAGTATTGCCAGGGTGGCGAGCTCTTCTTTCACCTGCAACAGCAGTATTCACAAAAATTTGACGAGCAAGCTACTCGATTCTACGCTGCAGAGGTGCTTGCAGCTCTTGAGGAGCTGCACACGAATGGCGTCGTATATCGTGACCTCAAGCCTGAAAACGTCCTGCTGGACTCTCAAGGACACGTCAAGCTAGCCGACTTTGGCTTTGCAAAGCAGGAAATGAAGCCTGGTCAACGAACGTTTTCATTCTGCGGGTCCCCCGAGTATTTGTCGCCCGAGATGGTCAAGAAGGACGGCCACGGCATTGAGACGGACATGTGGTCCTTTGGCTGCTTCATTTATGAGCTCCTCACCGGCTTGCCACCATTTCAATGTGAAGACATGCTTCGCCTTTATCGGTTGATCCAGCAAGGACGTGTGTGGTACCCACCATATCTCTCGGGCCACGCAACGTCGCTGCTGAAGGGCTTGCTGTGCATCAACCCCACCAGCCGCCTTTCAGCAGCACAAGCCATGGAGCACCCATTTTTCACGCTGTCGCTCGATTGGGACGAGCTTTTCCAGCGCCGAATGACGCCGCCAATCGTGCCGGTTTGCCACGGACGCGATTGCACGGACAACTTTGACGACGACTTTACGAACACGCCGGTGTCGTCACTCAAGCTGCAACCGGGCGATATCATCAAACGCTTGCGACGTGACGACAGCTCTGGACTAGTCCCTCGGACAGACGCGTTCCAGGACTTTTAATCACTGGCATCTCAGCTTTTGTAGATGTTGCATCACGTAACGGAGTGATATCTCAGCAGTTGAGAAGAGACTTTGTCTTGTATGTCGTTGAACGTTTCGATGGTCGTAACATCGTGTGGACCAAAAGAAACGTGGAGTTGATAAATTACTTACGCGGATATATAAAACATATTTAGAACGTCTACAAAAATCAAAAAGATGTCCAAATTATGGGTTTATTGTTGAAAAAAACCCATGTCATTTGTCCCATTCAACGCTATGGCGACCAATCAATCCACCGAAGAGATCACTACAGCGTCTGAGTCGATTACTAGCGAGTCTTTTAACACCTCTAGTGTCATTACCACTGAGAATAGACACTCTGGAACCCTCTGTCATGAACTCCATCTACACAGTGATAATGTTCGTCCACTAGTGGGGTTGGAATTGCCTGTATATGGCTCCGATATGACTAAAGTACTGGAGACTGTCAATGGACTTTGGAATTTACAGCAAGCACATGAAACAAAGAGTCAGTTTTTACCAGTAAAATTACGACCTAGTGAGCCATCATGCAAGCCCTTGTTTGCAGATTTGACCAAGACTCAGATGGTGGTGCTCAAGATAAAGCGTTCACGGCCTAAACGAAGACGGAACGAGACGACGTTTGAAGAGAAAAATGTGAAGTTTTCAGTTGAAGTGGTGGGGTTGGTAAAGGAGAAATACGTGTGTGAAGGTATGGCTGATTTTCAATACTTGACGGCTCGGTCATTCTACCCAACGTCAAAGCCTGGTAAAGATGCTCTTACGATGGTAGCAGATACAACGGATGCAGTGGATACACCCGTGATGAATAGTGCTGTAGTGGAGAATGGTCCTTTGTCCAGGCCATCGTTGCGACAACGAGAATTGCAAGACTGTTTGCGACCGTATTTGGCTGTGGAGAATGAAACGCAGTTGGAACTTATCCCGGAAGTGTTTTCAAAGGTGGACTTGCCATTGAAGTATGAATTCCGCCAAAAGTCAGGGTACCAACCGACAGCAGTAGCAAAAAAGCCTTCCACTACTATGACATACTTGAATTTTCGTGACGATACGCCAGCGCCTGCCGGACCTAAGCCTGATCAGCCTGTGGTGCGTCGAAGGTCCGTCGGAGTGGATGATAATGGTGTCGATGCTCATGTGATGGAGGTGCTGAAGGGTAAGTTAGAACAAAAACCGGTATGGCTTCGTTCCAAGCTGTTTGATGGATTAGACGGGTTCGAGCGCCGAGCGGCAAGACGTCTACTGCGAAAGCTTTGTTATGTCTTTGTTGATGGGCCCTGGAGAGGTTCATGGATCAAGATGGGCTACGATCCACGATTGCCCGAAGTATCGGAAACGGCGTCATGTTATCAGGTCGTGGAACTGCGAAATAACCGGGAGCTTGTACACTCCAAGGTAACCCATGCTACGAGAAAACGTACCACAAAGTTTATTGGCGCTAGTTCAGGACATGCCAATGGGGAAGGCGGGTACGTCAAGGGTCCGCGAATCGTCAAAGTGACCCAAACCTCGGCCCTTGAAAACGCGCAGATCAGCAAGCGTCGTCGGAAAGAACGATTTATGCGAGGCGAAACACGGCGGTCTTACCTTGTGAAGCCTGCAATACCCGTGACTACTTCTTCTGCTGCTCCTACAGTGGCTTCACCGCCGCGAGCTAGTCCCATGTCATCGACGGTAGATTCAGGGAATGACTGGGATTCTGAGGACGAACAGGAGGATAAGGAGTCTGATACAGCAGACAATGCAAATGGGACTAGCAAAACTACTACATCAGGAGGCAGCGTAAAGGTTTTTGAGATTTTTGGAGTGCAGTTGACAAGCGCAAATGTTTTGTTTCAGCTCGAGGAAATTGACGATGATGAAGTGCGCGAATGGATTGCTCAGTTCGCAAAACAGTCGGAGCCGTCACTGCTCGGTGGGTGGTATCCAGCGCAGATGTTCTTGCCATTGCGTGAAATCATTCGGCTACGCATCGCGGCATTGGTGGGTCGCTCTAAAGCTGAACTTGAAACAAGACGTAAACGTCTCGATGCACTTAAGAAGCAGGCACTTCATGACTACGCGGAGTCAAGCAACCAGCAAAAGTCCAACACAATTGAAAACGTATCGGTGTCAACAACAGGCAGCACTAGTGCCGAAGCAGCAGCAGATGATAATGATGATGACGAGCTGGCGTTTGAGCGATCTCTTATTCACGATCGAAACGCAATGTCCAACGTGGAAAAGTTATCAGCAGGTGCTGAAGTAGAAAAGGGTGAAGAAGACGAGGAGGAAGAGGATTTGGACTTGCAGGATGATGAAGATGGCAACGAGGATCGTACCATTGGTCGTTCTTGTGCTACATTCGACCAAGATGAGAATATGGATGAAGATGATGAAGAAGAAGAGGAAGAAGAAGAAGAAGAAGAGCAAATAGAAGATGTTACGTCGGACAAGCAACAGGAAGAGCAAATGGTACCCATTTCTATTGACGCGACATTGGAATCGACCGAATATTCCTTTTAATGGTCAATTTGTCGCAATCTGTCATGATTATGCCTCAAGTTTTCGTCGTCATGTCCACTTTTGTCCAATCGACTAGTCAAATTGGTATCATTTATTTTCTTTCAGCCAATCAATTTTCTTTCTCGGGAGTTTTAAAGTCTCCTCATTTTAGCATTCAAGTCCAAGTGTCCCAATTGTCCCAATATGGTCGACAATAATAAAAACGTCTTGCGTTATGGCCAAAAGGTGCGACTTACAACCCGTTCTGCTTACGTTGATGATAATGTCCTTGTTATTCCTGAGATAGGTATTGGTTATTATGAAAAAAATGGACGTCATGGGGTCCTCAGCTGCGTTCCTCCTCTTGGACCAAAGCTCCAGCAACTTTTTACGGAAGACGAGTTTTTAGTGACACTTCCAACCGGACAACGATGTATACAAAATCAAGTACATTATGGAGATCCATTGGTGCTTGTGAATCAGCACGATATGGTCTGGAACAATAAAACGGGCGGTATTACGGGCTACGTCGGTCCTCGACCACGTGGTGTTCCAGGCGAAATGTTTGTGTGTTTTACAAAAGTTCCATTGAATGGGGGCGTGCAAAAGAAGGAGAAAGGGAATAAAGTGGACAAAATGACATCATCGAGGTCAATGTCTGGCAGTTTTTCCTTGTCGGAGAGTCCAGAATTTGAGTCGGGTGTTGTGTGCTTTGGTGATACAAATGTTGCAATCACAGTGGTTGAGTCGAATCGTCATTCGCAAATGTATAATAAAAGACTTAGCAACTTTAAGAAACCGACGAGTCATATCATAGGAGGATACATTTGCTGTGATGGCAAAGGCACTGAGTTGAGATTTACAATCTGGCCGGCCAAGCCAAAGATTGAACAGATTACCATGCTGAATAAACTCATCACGCCGTATAGATATGGACAAAAGATTGCGTTGCCATTGGGACTGCTGGAAAGCAAAGCAAACAAGACGACAAGCTTTTGCAACGCGAGTGTGAACAGGGATAGTGACATTCTGCAGACGAAGATTTTCTTTAAACTGTCCAACGGAGCGGAAGCTGTGCTACCCGGGACATTGTTACGACAGAAGATGTTGGCTCATGTCCAGCCGTCTGAACATAACGGAAAAAAATCCGAATTGATCTTTGAGCTTCCTCTGCAAAATGGACCAGGTGTATTGATGATGCAATTAACCGGTGTCACGCCTCGAAAAATAGTTGGAAAGCTGGCTGCATCGAATGGGAAGCAGTCATCAGCACCGAAGGTCAATCGTGGCAAGGTAATATTTTACCGTGTGTCGGATTCGTTTCGACTCGTGCCTGTGCCCATGTTTGCGTTACTTTACGCGGTGGTCACATTCTACCTTTGGGATGCTCTTAACACAATGGAGGACGGTCTGCATCGTGAACTCGTTGTGTTGGTTTTAGTGTTTCTCCCAGTCTTTTACGTGGTGGTGAAGGCAGATCATCCGTTCTCTGCGCTATTCCGGCCTCCTGTTTTGAAGCCAGAGGTTGACAACATCGACTATGAGAGTCCTCCGACAAGCGGCACGTTGAAGCTCATTGTCACTGAGTACCGCTTTGTCCCAGGGTTCGCCAACGCCAACGGAAGCGTAAGAAGAACGTCACAAGAAGCGAGGTCATCAGCTAGCGGGTTAACGAATGAGCCATCCGTTACTTCGTTAGAAGCGACAGGATCAGTTCCCATGCGCTTTATCCTCGCGGAAAAGGGCGATCAGGCCAAGGCGCTTGAGCGATACAATGAGACAACCGAATGGCGACGCGACGAAGGTATAGATAGCCTACTTATGAAGCCTAATCCACATTTCAAGATCATTAAGGATAATTACCCGCACTACTACCACAAGCGTGGCAAGAACGGCGAGCCTGTGTACTACGAGAAGCCAGGCAAGATTAATTTGAAGGCTCTCAAGAATGCGGGTCTCACGCTGGATGATCTGATGCACAACTACCTGATGATCACGGAGTTTCTGTGGCAAGTGATTGAGCAGGACGACAACTGCAAGGGTATTTCCGTTCTGGACGTGGATGGGATCGGCATCTCGGACTTTGCTGGTGAGGCTGTCGAGTACGTTCGCAAAGCAGCTTCTATATCCGGTAAGCACTACCCGGAACGCTGCGCGTACATTTTCGTGATCAATGTGCCCTCCTGGTTCAGTATGATTTGGAATACCGTGAAAGGAATGGTGGATGACGTGACTCGTGAAAAAGTCATTATCGTGCGTGGAAAGAAGAAAATTTTGGAGGCGCTGTCAGAGCGTATTCCTATTGAAAACATTCCTGTGGAATACGGTGGAACGAGCGACGGGAAGTCTTCGGAGGAAGACTTGCTCTTTAATCTCATGGACTACGTCAATAACGATGAAGGCGCACCAGCAACCAACCCAATCGAAGAGATTATAAGAAAGAAGCCCATTAAGCATTAACGCGACTAATCTACTTTGAATATTTCGTGTTGCCATTGAACAGAAGTTTTAGCAAAGAATTCGCGTAGGAATGAACTTGCTTACAGTGCCTGGTCTCTACTTAGCAATCTCTAATTACAAAGTACGGTCACTCTGAGATTAAAGACGCGTGCAGCCATGCACCGTGTCGTCCGGGCGGTCCAACACCAGTACGTTCATCACATCGTTGTAGAAATGCGGATAGTACTTGCAAGCGCGAGTGCAGTCTGGTTGGTAGTTGGTCTCCAAGATCACGGGACGCAATTGCTCGTCACCAGTCTCTTCGTCGGCTTCCCACGATAGCATCACGTCCACGCCATAGAGGGCACGCGACTTTGTGCAACGACCCAGGCCAAGCGGGGGAGGCTGTGCCGTCGCAAACTCAAACAGCTGCTTGATGGAAGAGCAGATAGCGGCGTACACGACGGACCAGTCCTCGCTCGGGTATTCGTTGTCAAATCGATCCACAAACTCAGCATTGTCCATGATCCGAACAGCAAAATTCGAGTAATTCATGACGGTAAAGTGCTTTTCAAAATCCTCAAAATTGTCCATAGTAAACTCCTTGTTCGCGATGCGAAGCCAGTAGACACCACTGAGGTAGAGCTCCAACGGTTCTGTTGACTTTACCATAACGAGGAAACGGAAGTCGAACTTGCGTTGGTCAATCAATAGCGGACGATGAAGATACTTACACGCAACCTTGGGGCCAGTCTCGGCTAGGCGAGCGAGATGCGGTGCATTCTGCGCTATGCATGTGTCAATGGACCGAGCCATGTTCCAGGGTTTGCAGATCCAGTGGTTGGCGTCATCATCGCCATCGCCGTTCTTATGGGCAATCAAGTCGCGACGAATAAACTGCGCGATAAGCTCAGGGAACTCGCTGTTCATGTTGTAGGTCTCCGCGAGCCAGTCTGGTCGTTCACCGCCATTGTGCCTAAGGATATACCAGCATGATCAGCAATTGTGTTCACAGTCAATAGTAAATACAGATACGTACAACTTGCACATTTCGTAAAGCAGATCCTTGCACGTAAGAACTTTTTCGTTCGGAAACTGGTTGATAATGTACACATTATCGTTTGTGGTATACTTTGGAAAGTCCTTGAGGTGATGGGTGAGCCATACGACCTGTGCATCATCCTCGTTGTCCACAAGAGTAAAACGCGAGTGGGTCAAGTTGTCGTGCACTAGCTTCAGATCTTGCACAGTCATTGTAAGTACAGTTAATAAACTAGTTCTTGGTATACTGCGCCATACAGGGAATGTATCATAACGTACCAGAACACACTCGTAGTGATTCCGAGCCGGCAACAACGGCTGAAAGCGGTGTCGACGTGACAGTCGTCTCCGGGTCCGGGAACGTCTCCGCATCACGGCTAACAATAGCGCGAAAGTTTGCACGAGCACTCTCCAGCGTGTATGCCAGCTTGCGTCCCCTGACGATCTCTTGAAGCTCTTCCACATACAAACTATCAGCCTTACCAGACTTATAAAACAATGCAGCAAGCAGTGCCGTGTGCATTGCATCATCAGCTGCAAAATCTGGAAAATAGTCTCGGGATAGAAAGTCTCCGGCTTCAATTGGTTGTACAGTCCACACGAGCGAGAACGCACACTGTGACTTGCCATAATAGAATGGCGCCATGCGGACATTTGGCTCGTCGGCGTGTTCAATAGCAGATCCCACTTCGTCCATCACGTACCAAATGGTTGAAGCTTCTTCAGGCTTCACATTGCCAAATCGATACGTATTGGCGTATCGCCACACACAATTGGCAACTTTTTCAACACGTTTCTCCGTTGAAAGGTCTCGTGTTTCTTCCATTTCTAATTGCATCAGAGTTTCCATTCTTTCCAAAAGTGATGGGAGATGATTCAATTGATCGTAGACCTTTTCCAGTGTAAATGTCCAGGCATGATCTATTAGAAATAAAGCATCTTCTCCTTCCGGCTGCACGGGTTTTAGATCGACGTCATCACGGACAACAACGTGCAAATCTTTATCTTCATCTTGAGCCAAATAGAAATACTTGCCAGCATCAAAGATTTCGTGTCTATGGATAGAAACGTCATTAAGTCAGTCCGTCTTCGTTCTGTGTCGTGTTACGTCAATGAATAACAGTAGAAAAAGAGTGTCTTACTTGAGTTTATAGTACACGACAGGCCATAATAGTTGCGGGACTTGAGCTGCTACTAGCTGTGCTTGGTGTTGTTTTAGAAACGTCTCCATCTCGTGCTCCATTGGCTCGGAACAATATTTAGAAATGATGTTTAGCACACACTACGTGACTAAGTTCGCTTTGCGAACTTAATTCTACGAAAGAGTGATGGTCTATTTTCAATTTGAACTTAAAAGTATATGGAATACTGTATGGACGACATGCAACGTAGTCGAGCGCATGAAGCGCACAGTAGCGGAAGTTATGCGTTGGACTATAGCTCTTCCTTTCGTCAAGCAAAGCGTGCGCGTTTGGACGAGTCGCTGAGCGAAGAGGAGAAGGAGAAGAGCGTCGTTGTAGCCACTTCGTCTCTTTTCCCTCTTTCGAAGAATAATACAAACCCCATTGACCTTATAGAGAATATGACGTCAACCACATCAAGGACCGAGTCGCATACCTGTCCATGGCGATTACCACGTACTCAAACACTGGCAGAAAGTCAAAAATATCTCAATGAGCAACTTCAACATGTTGTTGTACTGTCGTCAATGTTATTGCCTCGGAAATTTTCAAGAACGTTCCCGACTCTGGAAAAAGAACAAGAGGAAGACGTCGAGAAATTATGTACATTAGATGTAACAAGTGTATTGGCAATAGGAAGGATGACGCAATCACTGGAACAACAAGAGACGGTCGAAAAAAGATTACGTGACGTTTTGGACCTTGTGAGTTATTTATTGTACGTACGAGATCGAGAAGCAGAGTATCAGAATAAATTGAGTGAGAGATTGAGCAAGATTGAGAACCAATTGAAGAGAAAGAATCAGATTGTTTACACTTTACAGTCGGATCTCGAGACTTTGAAACAAAACAATGCACAACGAGAAAATCTATTGAAAGCAAAGGAAAAAATGGTGCTGAGTGAGAAAAAGACACTTCAAATGGACAAGAAAATGCTAGAAGTACATTGTGCACGGTATGTGCCGTTTGTGTTATTGTGGAGAATGACAAAGAGTTGGTTTTGAGTTTTGAAGCTTTTTTTGGTGTAATAATGTAGATTGCAAGGGGTCGAGACGGCGTATAAAGCGCAATTGCGAAGAAAAGATGTCGATTATGCACGACTTCGGAAAAGTCTACAGGATGTTGTTACACATGCTGCTAAAGAAAAGCGGGTATGTTGACATGTGGGTTGTTTTTTATAATGGTGGAGATTTTTTTGTAAAGGTGTGCTCATTGTTTATTGCATGTTGGTGTAGGGAATGACAATGACGAAACCGCTAAATGGTGTTCGAGAGCGGAAGCAAGTATCGTTGAACAATCAATCAAAAGAAAACAAACTTACAAAGCAGATCATGGAGAATCTAGAACGGAAGAAAGCGGAGCTGCTGTTGGATAATCAAGCACTTGTAAAGAGCTACGATACGTTGCAACATCACTTAGAAGCACTCACTTTGCAGTACAAGAAGGCCGTTCGGCTTTTTCTTGCCCAGTACGTTGGCTATCTTATTATTGCTGTTGCCAAAGTATGTTGCTTAACGTGACCTTTTGTTTCAATGTTTGTTGGTTTTTCCATAGAAAGAATCTGGAGGGAGATGCTGCAGAACTTGAGAAACTCGCAAGTGCTCCAATTGATGACTTTACTCCAATACCGTTCAATATGGCTACAAAGGCAAGCATTCCTCAATTTATTTCGCAATCGATGGAGACTTTAGATGAAAAACTGAAGCAACTGGAGCACGTCATTCGTAACGAATTGCCGTCGGCAGAGGCACGTAGCGACAGGAAGTTAATCAAACGCTTGCGTCAGAAGTTGGACGATGCTCATGGCATTATCAAGGAACAAGATCAGCTCCTTCAAGCGTCATTGTCGGCACCGGTTGTTGATGCCCGCGTTAGTCGTGGAGACATTAACACAAAAGAACGTGTTGATCACGTAGCAACATTTAGGAGTTCACCCGACGCAAGTGCAGAGGAAGACTTAGCGTATGAGAAGAGTGAGTTGGCTGTGCTTCGACAAAACCTTCAAAAGGAGCGCAAGCTTTTACAAGAACAAGCTGTCAAACTCGACAAGGATCGGTTGGAGTTTGAGGTAAGTAGCAATTAATGGATGTAAGTTTGCGGTGAAGTATGGTTGACAAGACGTTATGCGCAGATCATTAAGCGTGATCTATTGTTTGGATCTTCTATGGATGTGTCATGCGAGCAAGCATCGCCGTCCATCTCAGCCCCCAATGCTACTTGCTCAACACCAAAGCGACAACATCGAGCAAAGCGGTTACACATGGATGACCCGGACTCACCTATTGAGATTCCAGTTTCAGGTATGCATTCATATTCTTGTGCGCTTGTCGCATTCTTATCTGTTCGTAGCTGATTGACGTGGTACATGTACTGTAGCCACACCGGGCACAGCAGCCTATCTCAGGAAGATTGGGATTCATGTGCCGTCTGCAATCTGATGTTTGTAGCAAAGGCATATAGGCATTCCACAACAACAAATCGATGCTGATAAAACTTGATGTAATGAGCTTCCCGCGAAGAGAATTCCCGCTGAGACTTTGCACAGAAATGAGTCGGCGGTACAGACCACCAGATGGGGACACACTTAATCTACCAGGTGGTACATCAGCGTGACAATGTCACGTTTGACAAACCGTGCATGTGCCTCATCCAATAGTCAAGTACAACATGCCCGTACGTATTCATGTCGATTAACAGCCTCCTGCTTTACCCATTCTGGTTTGAGACAGCACATCCTGTATTTTGCATGCATTTGCAGAAGGATCAAAGCTCGCTGGGCTTTTCAGTCAAGGGCAGTACGGCTTTCGAGTTTGCCTATCCATTCCGCTTATTGAGAGAGATCAGTGCAGTCTTCGATGGTCGTCGAGTTGCAAACAGCTTGGACCGTCAAGTCGACAGGTCGATATCAAATCTTGTCTGTTTGTAATAAATGACTTGATGCACTCAACGTCCAAGAAACTGCGCGCATTAATCAGAGATTGACACTCAACAACAGTCAGCCGTGACGTTGATCCAAGTCATAGACAGACAGGTCTGGCTAAAATTGGAGCGTAACTCTTTCAACTAGATGGTGCATGACATGTGCTATTCATATGCACGTGATAAACACGTGCTGGGTGATAAGAGTGTATTTAAAAGTGGACACTTATGATTCTTGACATCAAGTTGCAGCTGGTAGTGCTTGTCGTGGGTCAGAAAAGGCCAAGCAATTCAGATTGCGACAAGGATGAGGCAGTTTCCCGGCTGGCAGGTTACCAAACCAGACAAGTCATTCTCTTTCTTCATAGAGAATTAACGATCAGATCACTAGAGAAATATTTTGATGGCGTTTTGTAATGGAAGAAAAGACGATGGAAGAGGTTGGCAGGATGATGATTGGAAGGACCTTATAACGGACAAACAGGAACAGGAGGACGTACTTTTCAAGTGTCTGGACGAAGACGAACTGGAAGACGTTCACGAATCGATTGTAGACGAATTGTTTGTCATGCAGCCCATGGACATCCCGTTGGACTTGGTGGAGAGACTCTCGTGGGATGCCGCGTGTCAAGGATCCGATGAAGAAGATAAGGAAGCGGTGAAGCCCATGCTATCGACGCTGGGTCGATCTCTTCAGGTCGGTATAGCTATAAATGACAACAATGTCGAGTGCGGTCTCATGTCGCCGTGCTCCGAGACATTGTCACCTCAGACGATAATGTCGTCGTTGATACAAACCGTATTGATCTCGCCCTCTGTATGCCAGCAAAGTTTGTCCGAGCCTGAGCACGAGGTCACAAGCAGTATCGAACCGATAACAGAAGAAGAAAAGCAGGAGGAGGTGGCCGTTCATGACTCCGAGACGTGCTGCTCGCCTCCTGACGTCAACAGTGTCTTGTCATCTCCGATCGCTAAAGTATCAGCAAATCCGTTCGCAACCTACCAACCGGCTGAGTCTAGAGAGATGGACTACCGGACAAGAGATAATGCCACGAGTGACAATGAGAGTCATGAAGACGATCAACCAAGTTCTGTTGTCTCAGCGCGTCGTCCAAGTCTGCTGCCTCGAGTGTCATCCATTGCGCAATGGAGACGACAGAAATCTCGTACGTGCTCTGGGGCGGGATCAGCAAGAACGCCGATAGCACTGAAATCTGCTCCTTTAAAGGCGTCACTGTCGAGTCGAAGCATTGGAGATGAAGACGACGGTGACTTTTCTAGTGACGACGAGGGATTTACACCAGGCCGCACGTCCGAGACGGAGCGCCTAAGTTCTAGTCCGTGGCGACGAGCAAGACAGACGACCCGTTATAACTTTCCGAGTCACCGGCTAAGCGTGAATGTGAGTATGAGACCGACAATGATGACCAAGCGTCTGCAGGTAGCAAAAGACAAGCTCAATAGCGGGCTGCACTTGCTGCGATCAGGTTCGACTGTTTCGACTGTTTCGACTGTTTCGACTGTCATGAGTGAGGAGAACTATCTGGAGAGTCCTGTGTATCAAGAGATTATGAGCGCTCCATCTGGACTCTATTGTGAATCCAGCGTCTTCTCTGACAAAGCGACAGCAACAAGTCTTGTCAGTGCTGCGAGCGCATGTACCATTGATAGCAATACGCACCATCCTACGCGTCAGCAGCAACTTCGAGCAGGTGTGTTCAAGGCTGCTGGGCTCTTGAATGCTGCATCAGCTGAAGCTGCTCGCAAGCTAAAGTCGCATAGCTTCCGTGCACCATACTTACCTACACAAAAGGCAGCCAGTGAGACAGAAGAAGAGGATCCTACTGCATCTGATCACTGCGGCACGATAGAAACCTATGAAGCTTAGAGTGGCAAGTGTTAAGTATGAATGATTACTGGTTTGATCGCCATTCCTTCACGTGTGTTCGACGCGCCATGACTATTCCTCGTCTTCGTCCTCTTCTTCTTCATCTGTGTTCTCGCCCTCGACAACTGTAATCTTGACCTCATTCTCAAGGTCACAGCCGGCGTAGCCATCGCAGATCACGTAAAGCTGGAAGGTGTGATCACCAATTTCGTCCGGAGCAGTAAACTGCAACGCCACGTTGGCTTGCGCACTTGCAAAAGGCACTCGCTTAATGCTCACTAGTGTATTCTTCTTCGAATCACCCAGCACCACCCACCAGTTCTCGGCTTTCTTTGCAGGGTAGTGGCACGCATTCACGAGGCCTAGCCCCCTTGACTCGTCCACTTCTTCATCGTCCTCGTCAGCACCTTCACGCTCGAGCTGCACCTTTACGCTAACGGTAGAGCTCTGCGGCAGATTTTTGCCATCCTGCTGGATCGTCGTCTGCACTGTCACATCCGGGTAAGCATTACAGAACTTGGCAACTGCCGACATCTTTTGTGTGTCTAGAGGCAAAAGCTTGCTGCGAGCATCATCGTCCATACTCAGAATATCCACGGGTGTCTCCACCTCCTCTTCCAGTTCCATCTCTCCCAGTTTCTTCAGCATATCCCGAGTGAAGAATGGAATCTGAAGTAATGGTGAATCATGACTCCATTGTGCCTGCACAACCATCTGCGCAAGGTCCATGGCCGCTAGCGCAGGCTTGAGCCATCCGTTGGAACTGATAACGTCCACCATCGCGTGCAGGAGACGCACAGCGTGGCGCAGAATAAAGTCCAGATCCTGGCGCAACGCTGGACTTAGACGGTCGTGTTGCTTGCTGAAGTGAGCCTGCAATAGCACGTTCGCTTTCACATGGGCCTGTCCGTAATCCCCTCCGGCTGCCACGGGAAAATTAAGGTGCTTAGCGAGACCCTCCAGTTTCTTGTCTTCGCCATACCGGCTTGGCAGGTCACTAAACTCCGTTGCAGATGACAGAATAGTCAAAAGCGCGCGCACCTTCGAATCTGCTTTCAGGCTGCATGCAAACAGCTCGATCGTCGTATACTTGATGTAGTAGTACGCTGCAATCATACCGAGGTTAAGGGGTACAAGATGTTCCTCACCCTCGTTTTCTTCACCCTCCTCTTCCTCTACAATTTGGATGCAGCGGGACTCCTCGAGTGCATTGACTGTGGTTTCCACAAGTTCCGATAAGTGATCTGACAGGTGGACATTGGTAGAGCCATGTAAATTGTAGTAGTTAGGATTCTTCATGAACCGACGATACATAAAGGTCCACGTGAGGTAGTCCACCGCGTCCTGTTTGCTCTCAATTGTCTTCGTCACGATCTCAGCGTTGATGTGGTCACTCAGAAAGTGCTCCAGTTGCGATTCCGCGGGAAGGGGATCGTATAGGAATTTGGCGTAGAACTTTTTCTTAGACGCATGACAGAAAAGTACACATTTTACAGCAGGAGAAGCAGTGTGGTTGGCAAATTTAGTCATCTGAAATACGTCAGCGAGCTGGTAGTCCACATAACGGTGTTCTCGACCGTCATAGAACTGCACGCCCATAATAACAACCATGAACGCATTGATCTGAGCACTTCGCAGCTCCCACGCCATCGACTGCGGGACGATCAACACCTGGATTTTGCCAGTTGCAAACCGGTTCAGCACATACTCCCGATTTCGTGATGCCATTAGATTTGTGCAATATCCCACGCCGTTTTCCATTGTGTGCAGCAACGCACCATCTTCCAGGGGCAAGTTCACTTTGTCCTTTGGTGAATGAGATACAAACTTCTGCGGGTCGTTTTCAGCCAGAGAAAAGGTGACCAAATCAATCGCACTCAACTGTGCCTGCTTCGCTGACGGTACAAACACTACAACAGGCTTCTTCTCCGCTTGATTTGCAACAGTATTGTACAGAGGTTTGGCCATCGCTAGCATGCGAGACGAAAAATCGTTAATCTCGAAGCCCTGTACTCGAATCTCCAACGGCTGTGGGCGAACATTGGGGTGAAAGTTATAAATGCCTTCCGACGCACTAGCGCCGAGCCACTCACCCACATCACGAGCATTTGCTATGGAGTTACTCATAGCCAAGATACGCATTCGCCCACCCCGCTCACCGGCTGCTTTCTTTTTCTTATCCATGTCAGCAGCAATAAATCGCATTCGCGACATCACAACTTCAATCGTAGGACCGTATTCGCCGCCACCCACAAAATGAGACTCGTCCAACAGCAACAAGCTTACATTCTGGATGCGTTTGCGTTGTTTCCAGCGTCGGGAAAGCACATCCCACTGCATTGGTGTTGCAATCAGGATGTTCGCGCTAGCAAGTAATCGCAGGTCTGCAGTCGAGTCACCGGAGAGCTCCACCACGTTTTGCCGCCAAAAGCTTTCCTCGCCAAACTTGGTATTCCAGTCATCATACTTTTCATGGCAACTCGACTCCTTTGGAGTCAAATACACAATCAAGTGTTCGCCAAACTCGTCACTCTTCTGATCAGGCTGGTTGAGAGAAAACAGTGTCTTCATAACAGCAAGCTCCGCTAAAACGCCCTTGCCACTTCCCGGAGGTGACCCAATAAAGAGATTGCTCTCTGACTCCAGCAAGCGAGGCAAAACCTGCGTTTGAATAGGATTAAAACGCTTGAACCGCCATGGGTTTGGAACTTGACGGGCGTTCGTTAAAGACTTAAAAACAGACTCTGCAGTCTTTTTCTTGCCACCTGCAAGCTTCAGAAGAACGTTATTAACGAAAAGTGGTTGGAGGTCCAGCAATTCAGTTGGAGGAGCATTCTTCTGGGGCAGAATAAGCTTGTGAAATGACACCGGCAACGAGCTTTCGCAATGAATCCACTTGTCTGAAATGACCTTAATATAGTACAGTGGCGCAAAAGGCTCGAATAACGGCATCGTAAAAGTAAGATACGTGTCTTGTGAGGCAAAGCGACGTTTGATCAGCAGCCATTCGTGGTGAAGGATCGTCTCGCCATCCACATCCTCTACAAACACCCAAAAACCCTCAGCATTCCCGTGCACTTCCCTTGTGAACTCGAAATCAGGCGTCACCACTAAATCCACCTTCAGCATAGAGCGAGTAATTGGCTGCACATGAGCCGAGAGTTCAAGCTTTGGGAACTGATGGATCATTTTGTAAAGCTGTTTGCCATAGTGTGGGTTGTTAATGAGTTGACCGAGATCAGCAGGTTCCAGGTCGTTATACTTCTCCCACGATATGTCTTTCTTCTCAATCCGCTTCAAAATGGTCTCCGACAATCCAGGGGCAAACTGACGAAGAGGCGAGTGTGAGAGCCACATGCGCTTGTCAACCATCTTGCAGAAACTAAGCATTCGCTCAGCCAGCGACGCCCAGCCTCGTGTCAAGCAAATCTCGAAAAGTGCTCGAAAAATACGTGCTGCAGATTGATGAATGTGCGCCATGTCTGCCAAAAGTGCAAACCCGTCTAATCTCAGTCGCGAAATGTAAGCTTGCAGCAACACGTTCACCTTCGCAGAGCCACTTCCAGCTGTAACACTGCCAGGAGCTGAAGATACCAAGGACTCCTTCACCGGAACGGGCACACGTTCCAAAAGCTTCACCAGCTCCAGCTTCTCCTCTGAACGAACGATCACATATTTGAACTCGTTTGACAGAGAAAACAGCCGCAAAATCTCAATGTCCGACATGTGAGGTTTCAAGTACTCGTTGTACGTGCTGATCGAGTCGTGAGCAATGTAGTAATGACTAGCAACACGACCGAGCGCAGTCACCTGGAACAATCCCGAGCGCCGCTCGTACTTAATCAGGTTGTGCTTCACCAATAGAGTCGCGGCCGAATGCGCCAAGTCTGTGCGGTACTGCAGCAGTGTCGGGTCTGCCTTGCGGTCAGCCACGGAGATGCCATATAATGTCGGGTTACGCAGCATGCGGATAAATAAATATGTATAACCTAGCCAAGTCGCAGCTTGTGCCACGTTCTGCACACTACCTACTACAATTTCAGCATTCAAATTATCAGCCAGCTTCCCCATGAGTTGTGACTCCACCGGGAGTTGCTGGTTCATCAACGATAAGTAGTAGGTCAATTGTGAGTGCTGTGTGATAATGATACCCTCGCCTTGTGTGTCGAACTGCACTCGACCGGCACGACCCAACATTTGCAAAATGTCTAGTGGACTCAGTTCACACCAGTCGCCCTTTTCTGCATTGTAGATCTGAGTGCCTTTGATTATCACCGTATGAGCCGGCAGATTGACTCCCCACGCCAACGTCGACGTACTGACCAGCACCTTTAAGTGACCGTCAGCAAATGCGTTTTCCACTAATGTACGGTCTTGTCGCTTCATACCAGCGTGGTGGATACCAAACCCGTATGGAAGAAGATCCTTCAAATCATCATTGCGCTCAATCTTTTCGGCTTCCTGTAAAAGTACCTCGCTAGAGGCAGAATTCGGTTTAATTAAACGGGTAAGTGTATCATTCTCCACAAACAAGTCCCGCAGCGCCTTTGCTGTCGAGGCAGTTTCCTTTCGCGAATGCACAAAAATAAGGACCTGATTGTCCAACTCTGCCTGCTCCATCACCTTTTCGTAGCATATTTCATTCATCAATGCAAAGCGCTTGACTGCTTTCTTTTCCATAATACCAATATACTGCTGCTGAAGCGGCACAGGGCGGTAACTGGAATCGAAGTAGAACAACCCTTGCGCAGGATCGACACGAAGAAACGCTGCTACGTCCTCATAGTTTGGAAGTGTGGCGGAGAGGCCAACTAGTCGCACCATCTGTTGTGTTGCTTCCACATTGCGGATCGTACGGGCAACCAAAGCCTCCAACACTGGACCACGCGTGTCGTGCAGCAAGTGGATTTCATCAATGATTACCAAACGCACAAGCTGAGTGTACGTGCGATCATCTCCAGACTTTCGCGTGATGATATCCCATTTTTCTGGTGTCGTGACAATGATTTGTGTGTTAAACAATTGCTCTCGGGATAAGTTCTGATCGCCTGATAACTCTCGCACTTGAATATCGTAAGCACTCGATAATCTTGCGGAAAGATTAAGCACAACTTCTTGCACGAGAGCCTTCATCGGAGCCACGTACACAATCTTGAACGAATTTAAATCTATTTTGCCAGTCTCGGGATCTTGAGCCTTCATGACCTCATGCAAAATCGTCAGCATTGCAACATTCGTCTTACCTGCACCTGTGGGCGCACACAATAGCAAATTCTCACTCGTTTCAAAGGCCGCGGAAAACATTTTTGACTGCACTCGGTTCAACGACTCCATGCCATTAAAAGCGCCCTGTGCCCACTTTGGCAGCGTCGAGATCTTGATCCGCGCTTTTTCTTCAGCCACGGCCATCTTCGTGCGAACGGCAGGAACGTGGACCTCTTCGTATCCCTTCTTTTGTGCACGCCACGTGCCTTCCGGTAGGCGACACTCACGGTTGCTCATCAAGTGACCACCTTCCTGGAACGCTAATGACTCAACATCTACGTAATGCTGTGGCTTCTTCTTCGAAGGATCTCCACCTTCTTCCTTGACGGCGTCGCTACTGCCGTTCTCCATGTCAACATCATCATCTGACTCTTCGCCACGCGCTAGCGTGCGCTGCCCACCAGAATTCTGTTGCAATTTGCGCAGCTTGTTGGCCTCTGCACGGGACGTAGTCTCCATAGCGCCGATACGATCCTGCATCCACGAGTCGGCCGATGCCGTCGTGCGTAGCTGGTCCAATATAGCATTTCCTTCGCCGTCATCTAGTGTCTCATCGTCAACCATCTCCTCTTCAATACTGCGTCGCTCTTCATCATTTTGAGCCTGTTTCAGCCTTGTACAATACAGTACCTTTGCTCGGTTCTCCAATAATAGCTTGATAAAGTCAAACTTGTCGTAATCCAACAGCAGCACAAGTTTGTTTTCACAAGCACTGAGATCACTTCCCACTTTTTTAATATACTCAGCACTTCTTCTGCAAGCTTGGCACTGATCTCAGCATCCTTGTAAAACTTCGACAGCTCACGCTGGAGCCAAAATGCATCGATCGCATGCACGTCCAGTCTATACTTGGCATCTCCGTCGTCTTCATCATCGTATCCATCCTTCATCTTCATTGCTTCCCGTCCAGCAGTAGCATTTTTTTCCTTCTCATTGTCCTTTTCAATATCTTTTTCCTCATCTTCTTCTTCGTCCCTCACTTCATCCAAATCCGACTCTTCCTCTTCATCTTCTTCATCAAAAACTACAGCCACGCCCATTTCCTTGTCCACTTCTTCATCACTCTCCAGTACCGTCGATTCTTGTCCCTCTTCGTCTCTTTTCTTCTCTCCATTTTCCATGTAAAAGTCCGTAATCTTCTTCCCTGCTGTCACCACTTGACTAAAAGTATGGGTTGATATGCTCTTTAGTAGTTTCCGTACTTCGTGATATTTCTCATCATCTCGGTACGTGTCATTCTTTAGAATGGCCACTACTTCTTCAGCTGCACCAGCCAAGATCTCTCCTGGTTGGGATCCCAATTGCTGGGCCACCACACCCAAGATTTGCTCATAAGCATCTAAACTCGTAGCATTCCGAGGTCGATACGTAGCCGATTCGTATGCCGAACTCTCTTTTAGAATATTACTTTTCACAGCTGCTAGCCCACCCGTGGCCATAAAAAAGACACCATCGCTACCCGTAGTGACGTCGTCGCCGTCACCCCGTCTGTTCTTTTTCTTTGGCCTGGTATGTGGCTCGTCTCTGTCCCTCTCTCCATGACGTTTGTGGCTGTTCTGTGGTGTCGCCTTCTGCGCCCTGTCGCCCATGCGATACGTGATCTTCCCAGCCAGAGATTCCACTTCACCCGTGGGTTCATCAGGTCGTCGTCTTGATTCACTGTCGGCCTGTAGTACGAGGTTGGAATTCTGTTGATACGCATACTGTCGCGAGCGAGCTACTTCTTCCGCCATGCTCGACAAGAGTGATGGTCAATCGAGTTCGTTGACCCTCCAAGTGTTTAGTAGTATGGAAAATGAAGTATAGTGAAAACAAGTGGTAAGTTTCACATTGAGGGCAGGGATACAGACGATACCGGTTTATATACTGGTGAAAACCCTTTGCGGTAGAGATCGGTAATACTGGTTGTAAAACCGTAGGGCTTCCGTCGGTATAAAACCGGTACTTTAAACTACATGGCCACAAACCACTCCACGATGCCGTACGTTCAGGTAACAAGCAATGTATCTTCCAATGGTATCGAAGAGGTAAACGTCATGGCTACAATCTCTAAAACACTGGCCCATGCACTTGACAAGTCCGAACAAGTCGTTATGGTTCATTTGGAGTTGGATACATTCATGTATTTTCAAGCTACGGACGCTGTAAGTTATGTGTGGGCTGTTTCAATGGATCCATTTATTGAATTCCACTTACTATTAGTATTATTGATAATGTAGCCATGTGCCATGATTCACGTTAGAAGCATTGGAAAGGTGGACATGGACTTTAATCCGACGGTATGGAGTTATATTGTCCATATGCAAAAGTATTGAAGGGGGATTTTATGCAAACGATATAAAATGAATGATCTGGATTATTTTGTAGACAGCATCGGCATTGACGGAGATTGTGAGCAAAGAACTTCAGATTCCTGTAGACCGCATCTTTATGAATATTGATGATGTTCAGCGTTCAAACTGGGCCAAGGGCGGTGTCCTTATTCCGGAACCCAAGGCAATGAATGACGTCACAATGGAGTAATTGTGATAATAAGTCAATTGACATTCTAACCCCCCCCCCCGCTGGAGGCGTCTCTATGACGTGATGAATACAATAGAGAAGGAGCGTGTAACGTGTCGAAGGCTTAACAGCCAAAAGTCAAGATGAGAAGGAAAGAATCTTGCACTAAAGGTCGGTTTTTTTGACGGAATGCTGCCTTTGTTAGAGCTGTAGACTCAATTCCAAGCATTTCTTCCTTACTGTTATAGGCTTCTCCATAGTGTATCGTCCATTGTCAACGTGCCATACTGCTCAAACATGCAGCACATATCCATACGTACTCGTTTCGTACCTTAAGATCACCTCATCGAATCGATCTCGAAATTCTTGCGTTCGGATGCACCGGGCAAAAGACGACATCGATGTTCGAGAGATTCAAGTCGAGCGTGGGCATCTTCGTACTCCGGATTGAGAGTCACCAGCTCGCGAATATCTTTGAGAGCCAAAAGTAAATCACGTTGTTGCTCGTACGCATCTGCTCGTCGCAGTCGAGCACAGACATTCTTCGGACAGCGCTCCAGTACGTACGTGCAATCAGCAATCACAGCTAAGAACTCGCCTCGTGTCTGGTTGGCGCGAGATCGATACAAATAGCAGTGCATGACAACCTCATCATCATCGGACTGGGAAGCGTCAATTGCTTTCGTGTAAAACTGGATGGCATCTTCATACGAGCGCAACTGGAATGCCCGATACCCCTTTTCCTTGAACCACTCGGATACTGGCAGCCCTGCTTTCTTTGCTTCCTCTACTTCAAGTTGGTTGATAAAGCGAGTGATACCCGCGTGCCGCGGATCCACTTCCTGGCCACGATAGAGTGTATTTAGCGCCTGGTCATGCTGATTAGCTGCATACAACGCCAATGCGAGCCGGTAGTAACCTTCAACTTGTCGATAGTTGATCCGGATGCACTTGGATGCATCTTCGATCGCGTTGGTGTAGTTCCTACGAGCGGTGTGCGCAATACTTCGATGCAAATACACCCAGTCGTTCTTCGGGTCAAGCTCGAGAGCTTCCGAGTAGCACTCGACTGCAAGGGCGTAATCCTTCTTTCGAAGTGCATCGTCACCATCCTTCTTCTTGAGTTTTGCAGATTCAGTAGCCGTCATGTGGCGCAACATGGTGGCACTAGACCCTCCTTTCAGTCGTGCCTTGTAAAGCTTGTCGGTCGCAATGAGTGTATCGCGAATTTTCACGAACTTGGGGTCAACCTCTGTACCTTTACGCAACGATTGTATCGCCTCTTTGTACTTCCCTAACGCCTTGAGTGCCAACCCATGACGTAAATATCCCGTCACATCGTACGGGTTGTACCGCATGCAGCGGTAGGCGTCGTCCGCTGCTTTTTTGTACATCGATGCTTCCATATACGCCAAACTGTTTCAACAGAGCGAAAGAAATACATTGGAATAAATCCTCCACCAGTCGTACAAACACTTATTGCAAATTGCTACATACCTCCGGTCGCCGTAGTACCCTGCTCGCTTGCGATCCAAAGCAATCGCTTCAGTGAATTTGTCGATTGCTAAATGACATTCACCATTCTCAAGACACTCTAATCCTTCATTTCGCTTGAACTTTGCCATCGTGGACTTTACTTCCTGGACAAGTCGCCGGTTGATGACGACGCTATCTTCCATCACACCGACACCGCGGCAGTTCCATAGCTGTATCTTTGCCTCGTCATTTTCAGCGATGATTTCAAGCAGAAACGATGCTGCCAAATCGACTTGCAAAGGAGATGATCTGTGTTTAACAACAGCAAGCAGGATCTTCACGAGTTTGGACTCTACTAGAGCTGTCACGAAATCAGAGCTTAGGTCAGCAATAGACTGCAATATCTCCAATGCATGAATCGTGCAAGCTTCAGAGTAGTCTATCCAAACGAGCTTCATAAATGTAAGGAATCCCTCGCGCTCCACAATCATCCAAGCAGTCGACAGCTCAAGACCTTCCTTCATAGCTTCTAATGTTTCAACAAGAAGAGCTTCCTCAGGATGCTCTGTCCGAAGGATGTCAAGAAGACCAATCATTGGGTGAAGTGGTGACGCAGAATCATCCTCGTCAAAGCTGCGAGCTGTCTGAAACTCGGCAGGAACAATCATTAGCGCTTCTTCATCCTCTAAACTATCGCCAGTGGCCAGTTCTTCCAAGTGTACATCCTCTTCGGCACTGCTCGACAGCATTGGATATTCCTCATCGGAAACAAGGCTTTTGACGCTCCCGGTATCACTATCCAGTTCTTGCTCGGGTTGCTCGGACGTGATCCAGTTTCTAATGACATCAGTAACAGAAGTTATCTCAGCATTATTATCCATGATAATCGGTCTGCAGTCACTTCGATCCTGTTTGTCATTTGTCGTATCACTGTCATCGGCTGCTTGAAGAAGTGCGCCGTGCAACGAACGCACTACTTCTCGACAATGAGGTACTTTTGCCTTTCCTTCTTGTCCGTAAAAGTGCACGATTTTGCTAGGTTCTTTTTCCAATGAGCTACCCACAGCAACCCCACTGCTTGCTTTGGGTCGATTAAAATGCAAACGTTTGCGCGGCGAGACATAATTCTTGATCGGACGACCGGTCAGCTCCACCGTTGATGCATCGCTTAGGGCCGAAAAATGAGCAGAATGCTTACAGATCTGCTTGTCCGCCGTACTAGCGATCAGCTGATCCACTGTGTCGACTATGATGGGCGGTAGGTAGCCAGATGTAGCCTTAGATGACATAAATAACTCGTTTTGCCCCTTATCGGGTTCCGATGATAGTGTTTCTTGGCTTGGTTCAGCAGTTAAAGTGCCAGAGCCATCACTGGATAGTGGGGTCAACCGAGCAAATGCATCTTTGGTCACTGTCACTAGGTTTAGAGCGCTGCTGTCTCGTGATTCACTTGTCACCTTTTCACCCACTCCCAGTCGCTTCAGCTCTTGGGACGCATTATTCACACAAACGCTTGACACACCAGTCAGTTTCTGTGTCGCCTGCTCTTCAAGCTCGTTTAGATCTAAAGCACTCTTGTCTTGACACCGATCCGATATATTCCTATGTTCTCGTAAAACTTCGTCCAGTGATGTGGAGACATGACCAGCTTTGGCAACGTCCACCGCCTTTAAGTCCGCCACGCTACTATCGCGCGATCGGCTTTCATCAATATGTTTTGGTGATACTTCACCCAGTGCGCTTGAGACGCACTCCCCTTTTGCTGTGGCGTCAGCTCTCGATGTGTCTGAGTCTTTACAGCTGGCGTTTCGTGAATGATTTGATTCCCGATTCCAGTATCCAAGTCGCTTCAGCTCCTGTGATGCCTCCCTTAGAGTAAGACGCTTTTTCGGATCGGCTGCACACATCTTCTCAATCAGTGTCCATCCCTGAGATGAAATGCACCTTGGTCGAGGTGGTAGCAAGCTCAAATTCTCTTTCAGTGTGCGAATCTTCGCAATATCAAGCCCTGCCCAGGGCACTGTGCGAGTCAAAGCCTCGAGAATGCACATTCCAAAAGCGTACACGTCGGTAGAAAATGAAGTGGCGGATGCACTGGCACCGCTTGAGACCAGTTCCGATTCGGAATCAGACAGAGTCCGAAGTGACTCGCGGTATACCACGTGCTCTCGTAGGCACTCAGGGGCTTGCCATCGAATCAGTTCCTCAGCGTCTGCGTCAAAAACGTCCAAGTGAAAGTATTCCGTCAATCCCGAATCCCGAGCGTTACATGCCAGCGTGTACAGTCCAAAGTCAGCGATCACCGCTCGACCTTTTTTATCAACTAGAATATTGTTGCAGCGTAATCCGCCGTGAACGATGCTCTGTTGTTCATGGAGATGTAGCAGACCACGACTTGCTCCATAAAGTAATTGCCATGTCAGTGTCTCTACTCTCCCAATACATTCCGGTCCTGCACATTCCTTAGCTCGTGTCTCCAGCGCTGCAAGGTAAGACGTAAGTCCACCATAAGTTGTAAAGTCTCTCACGAGATAAGGTGGACTAGCAACATGTGAAGCTCCTCGTACAGTCACGACATTCGGATGTCGAACACGCGTCCAATTATACACTCCACTTCGTGCAAAGAGCTGTTCGACAAAGTGATATTGGACATCGGGCAATGCCCACAGACACTTGACAGCTACTGTAGAGGTAGTACTAGAAAGAGCTCCTTGACTCTTGTAGCTGTATCGATAGGCTTCACCACGTTGCAGTGTCGATCCAAAGGATCCTCTTGAGCACCCAATGGTATGATCAGAAGGTGAATAATCCACTTCACATCCTGGCAAGAACCACCTTGGCACTCGTCGAAGATGCAGATCACACAAATTAGAAATCCGTCGATGCGTCATCTTGAGTGTCTCTAAAAGCTGAGACGAGTGTCCTCGTAGCGACTCATTTGATGCAAATTCGGCCACCAATTCCAGCAACACCAACGCTTGACATCGTTCACTTGGCAATTCCTTATTCACAAACGTCGGAGTCGAAAGTAACGCCATTAGCGTCTCATGAAGAGCTTTTTCATCTTGAAATCGATTGACTGCAAATTGTTGTTTCCACTCGAGCAATGCACTGGTCGCACTTGTCACTGACGTCTCACGTAAAAGTCCATTTACATTGGAATGAATTCGTGCTAAAGCTGATAACAGACGACGACTGGCGGTCACTTTTGCCACGAGATTACGACGTTTCAAGTGTTGATCGAGGATCGCTTTCAACTGATGTAACACGATCATAAAGTGCTGAAGATGTCGAGTCACAGGTATAGAAGAAGATTCTTGTTCTTTCACGGTATTGCTGATCGTGACAAACGTTTGATAAAGTCGAGCGTGTGCTTGGAAACACACTCGAGGACGATCTCGCATCTGCTGACACAACCCATAGATCGTGTGCAAGAAAGCGAGTACGTTATGAGTAGTAGGCAATGCCTTCATTGCTGCGTGGTTGAGATACTTAAATGAAGATAAACAAGGTGTTATTGTGGACGAGACAGAGGTGACGACTGAAACGACGCCGCCTTGATCATCCAATACGGACGTCATGATGTTGTCGTCAATCATAGAAAAAATGTATGGGTCTGGAAGTAAGGGCGTTTGTTTTGATGGTGCTGGAAAGAAGAAGGAGGAGGAGGAGGAGGGGGGGAGTAGGAGGCAGAGAGACAGCAGATGGATTCCATGGTTCCTACTGATTCACATGAGACGCTTTCGAAACAGATTCAACGTCTGTTTATAGTCGTGGACACTAGAGTCTCTGCCGCCAGTGACGGCTGAACGGTTGTTATATCACCTGCTTTAGATGGAATTGATCGGTTCATCTAGCGGAAAAGCATGTGTGTACGTGCCATCTCGATGAGCATTATATTGGGTTAGATCAACGACGTACTTGAGCTTATCCTCGGATCAATCAGCGACGACGACGAGGATGAATGCAAATTTGGTCATTTCTTGTTGAGGAGAAGCTGGAAAAGTGACTGATCCCGTGCATGAGATGGCCGACGATCCTGGTCCTGACTAAAGCCAGCTACTGCCTGTTTGATAATGTTCTCACTCGGGTGCAAATGCTTCTCTTGCATAGCGTTCGTCGCTGCATTAGTCGATTCGCTCAGGTAAATCATCTTTAGATCTAGCAGAGTGTCGATTCGAGAGCTCCAGACATGAGTTGCTGCTGCGTATACTCCCACAACACTAGCGCTCCACTCACATGCACATTGAGTGAGCGCACCAAACCGAACTGCGGGATCTCAACGCATACGTCAACGAACTGCAGCACATCCACGGGGATCCCTTCCTTCTCTCGACCCAAGACAAGCACCATCTTGCGCGGTAGCGTATAGTTTGCGAGACTTACACTGGAATCTGTTTGTTCGACTGCCACGATGGTATACCCTTCACTCTTCCAGCAAAGCAGCGCCTGGCGCAGATCTTCACCTTGCGGTCGAACTTCTTCCAGTGGCATCCACTTATGAGCCGTGGCGCTTACTGTCGCAAACGTGACGTCCTGCTCTGTCATACGCAGATTGGGCACGATCAGCTTTTGAGCGTTAAAGATCTCGCATGTTCTTGCCAGTCCTGCCAGGTTTGGAATCTTGTCAACCAAGCTTGCACACACGATAATGGGCTGTCGCGGGCGTTGGCGGGCGTTGAGTGTGTCACCCCGCCGCGCTGCATCAAAAGTAGCTTGCATTGCAGCAGGCAGCTCGCTGAGCAGCGTCGTTGTATCAACTTTACGTTGCACTGTGAGAGCTCCGTTTTCAGTTTCAATCGCAGAGGACGAGGTGTTTTCTCGTGATGGAGCTGGGGTGAAGTTCTCGAGTTGGTACTGAGCGTAGAGCTCATTCATCGCAGTTTTAAGCTGCTCACTAAAACAAAGGGCCTCGTCACGAGGCAAGAGCTCTCCAAACTCGCTTATGAATCCCGAACAGAGCATTCCAAGCAACGAGCTTTCGTAGTCAGGATGTAACTCCTCCAATTTACGTGCTTGTCGACGCAGCATTCGTTTGCTCTCCTTGTTGTTGCTCAGATAACGTGCGGTGCCTTCCAGAAAGCGAAGGCCTGGCGTATTGCTACAACTCTGTTGAAGCTGGTGGATATGGCGAGGAAGGATCGTGGCCAGCAAATATTGGGCCAGAACACGCGTGTACCCATGCGACGTGTTTAGCCACGGTAACATCGTTTCCAGCAGCTCTCCACAGTCGACATCATTATTTTTTTCATTTAGCTTGCAGTTAGCGAGATAAGCGGACACAAGCAGCACCGAAGCACCCACCTGTGGCATCAAATTCGGATCACGCAGCATCGGAAGCAAAATGCCTGAACATATCTCGCGTGAATACTTCGTCGCCAGCCGCATGCCGAAAAGCTCCATGTAGTACCGAACACTGGGCAGTTGCGGCACTGCAAATGCAGTCCTGAGTATAGGAAGAAGGGTGGCCAACTGCGATTTCGTAACATGAGCGCCGACGACACAGAGCGCTTGCCATGACCGCAATTTCTTACCAAACCCATCGCTGTTTAGCATGTGCTGCTTCTGCCATTCAGGAGTTACGTTGAGTTTGACGAGTCGAGTGAATACCGCATCCATAAGGTCCTGCGTTTTCGTAGAAATGGCGCTACCCTCGACAGCCACATCACCCAGGAAACTTAGCACCACCAGACGCACGAATCGGTCCTTGGCATGGTTTACAATTATCGCCATCTGGACGTGACTGTTGCTAGTTGGAAAAGAGCCTTGGAATCCCTGGACCGAGTGGCTAGTATCCGTCGTTAGCTGCTCCCTTTCGTCAATAACTGGTTCCTTGTAGAGTAGCAGTTCGACAAGTTCATCTGCAAAAGATAAAGCAGATGCTGGGTGTGCACGCCAAGTCTGGCACAAGCGGCAAGCCAGGTGATATATCACATTAGGTCTGTGTCGGGTGCCGAAGTGAATATACTCTGCGATCCAGTGCTTCATTGTGCCTCTTAGCTCATCATGAAGGAGAAACACCGGCTGAAACACACAGTTAACAACAGCTCGGGTAAGCACGTCAGGTTTAGCTTTACTATCAATGTAAGCCATCCAGACCTCCTCGAGCAAACTGTTTACTTGGTCGATGCCATTTTTGCAGTTTGATACCGGGCTGGCCAGTTGTGAGAGCGTAAGCGACAAAACGTTTACCATTTGAATCAAAGCTAGAGGATCCATCCCCGCCGTAGGGAGTGCCTCAACACATGCACCGTAGGTAGTTTGCAAGAACTTTGTGTCAACAAACGTCGATGATTTCATGACATCATAGAGCAGAACCCACTTGTTGGTAGCTAAGCTAATGGCACATTTTGCATCAAGCTTTCCACTGTAACGCCGACTCGTGTCAAGCGCAAGTAGAAGTGGGAGAATCCGTCCACTTTCGAATGCACGCAGAGAGTCTACAACAGTAGCGTTAGATCCGATGATGGACAAACACCTTGCTGCTAATGCCAAGTCAAATACTTTTCGATTCGCAGCCGCTGCCAGGATTTGACTAAGCTCGTTACAAAGCGTATCCAGTGCAGACATTTCGTTCAGCTCGCCGGTAGTGTTCATTTTGTGTGTACTCAGTTGTGACAGAAGAAACGTAGCGGATTCCACGAGTTCTATAGCATCATTCTTTTCGTGGTATCCAGATCCCGATTCATCAGCTTCCGGCGACACCTTGTCCAACCAGAGCCGGACTACATTCATGGCCATATCAAAAAAGTATGAGACTTGTCCGGAATAGAAGTCTTCGCGTTGAAACAAAAACGTGAAGCCTTTCGATGGCAATGAGGCACAACGATCCAGAAGTTCCTGAACTTGCTCTTCGAACTTGGCAGCAAGAAGCACGAGTAGGGTACTGTTCAGCTCAGGTTCCAACCTTTTGGGCAGCAATGCACTCAGTGGAGCCCGCAACAAGACTTTCACATTTCCCTGATGTCCTAGTTTTTCGTCTATATAGTGAGTCTTCGAATCTCCGTGTGTGACTTCTGCTGTAAAAAGCAGCAGTCTCGCCAGTTGAGTTGGACTGAGCAGAACTCCCTCTGGGTTCGCTTCCACTTGGGATAATATGTATGTCTGAATTGCAGACGCCAGAGTTGCTGATAAGATGGACGGTTTGCCCACAGCAGTGGGGATTTTCATCCACGCTAACAGTTGCAACATTACCTCTCCGGCATCGGCTACCAAGCTACTGATGGGGAAGACACAATGGACACGTGCTAATGCCGACAGTGAAAGTGTCGACGCGCTAACGAAGCCTCCGGTAAGAGCGTGACTCAGTGCACGAAGCATCTTCGTTCGCATCGCTTGCGAAAAAGACTGCATCGCATAAACGTCAAGCAAAAATCGCAGCTGGTCTACTGCTGTCTCACTTAGCAGATCCTTTGAAGACGCGAATGAGGCAGCACGCTTCAGACAAGGGGATTGGAATATTTGCAGCATGCTCAATAGAGCATCCGGCGAGTGACTGTTTGTGCCTTCACCAAAAATCGCTTCTTTAATCGCAACAACAAATTCATCTAACACGCGCTCCTGGTCGCTGTTTGCAAACTTGAAAGCAAGGAAGGACACCAGAAATCTAGTCAGCACAGCCTGGACACCAGCGCGATGCGTGTGCTTGAAAAGCGCCGGGTCATTGCAGGCGCGAAGCAAAAAGTCGAATACGAAACGCTGAAAAGCAGGGGAACAAGCAAAGGAAGCTTCGCGATCAACGTCGGTGCTAGCACTGTCGTGTTCATCCCACTTTTGCCAAGCTTCAATGCAGGTCTCCATAAAGTTCGAGATAAAGAGACGCTTTACGACAGGGTTGTCATGTGAAAATAAACGAACAAACAGACTCTGCATCCAGTCAAAAGTTAGCTGCACCGGCCACTGTTCACGATCCTGTTGCTGCTGCTTTAAGCCATCTCGAATGACCAAGCAGTGTGACAACAGAACTGCAACCTGCGGCCAAACCTGTTCAATTAGGTGTTGCTCGTGATGCATCTGGATCACTTCTGACGCTGTGAGGAAGTTTTGCCACCTATCCAGCCACAAGTCGTGTCGTGCTCCTCGCTTTTGCGATCCGGACAGCAACGCACAATACGAAAAGGCTATCTTCAATATATGGAGCCCTTGCTTTCGCAACAAAGCGTCCTTGTGTCCTAACGCAAAGCACACAAGTGTTTGCAGCGTCGAATTAGCAATGAGTTCACGCGGAGCTTTCGGTATGATGATGCACACCAGATACAGCAATTCATTGACAGAGGTATCGTCACTCGAGCACGGCATCCAAACGTCCACAACCATGTTTAGCAAACACAGACATCTCGCCTTTGTTGCTGCCATGTCACTCTCAAGTTCCACCAGTTCTGGGACAATATGCAGCGCTACCGCTCGCAGAAGCTGCGGCTGCTGTCGCCACTTTTTCGTGGCGTGTTTACAAATCTCCATAGCACTGCTCACCACTTTTTCCAGCTTCTGAGGCAGTAAAAACTTAAATACTCTGCACAAAGAGTCATAACAAGTAGTAGACTTGTCGTTTTGTCCAGTTAGCAGCTCTTGTACTCGATTAAAAAGCTGCGTAAGCGTCTCCTGGCTTTGCTCATTCTTAGCAGTAAACGATACCACCATCTGGAACATTCTTAACGCCGCATAATGCAGCGAAGAGAGAACATTGAAGCTGCAGAATAGGCAATAGTACTTGATACATCACTGGACCAGTTACAACATGAACTTTTTTCTCTTCTAATTCATTAGAAAGCTGCAAATATTGATCCAATAACATTGCAGCTGATACAAACGTAAAGTGAAATTGCTTCACATTTTCAAACTTGTCTTCAAAAGTTGGCAATGGCGTCAATAATGCTAAAAATGGCTCTGCGTCATCTCTAAAAAGCTCTTGAACCTGTTCATCGGCTAATGCGAGACCTATAGCGACCAGTTCAAACTGTACTTCCATCTCTGCAACACTCAAATCCTCTCGTTTATGATGCAGTTGGTGGTAGCGTTGCCATCGCGTCCAGGCAATAGCTACAGCGTTTGCAACAGTAGAGGTCATGTCTGCCATTAGATTATCCCAATAAGACAAAAATGAACTTAAGAAACCTTATCGTGAATTTGTTTCGCGTATTTGATTGGCTAACAAAATGATGCGTCTGATTATCAACTGGTAACTTTTATCTGAATAATTTGATCGTAATGGTACAGTAGTTATAACTGTGTAACTGGTATCCAATTTTTAACAGGATAAAGAGAATAATCAATTACATGGTATTTGCTGTGTTTTGAACATTGAGTATTTCGTCTTGCAACGAGCTGACGCCGAGTCGCTTCCGTAGTAGCCATTGACACGCCCGCCAAGGCCGCTATTGTAGAAATTAAAAAAACGCATGACAAAAAGACTATATTTACAGACGCATGCCAGACGCGTTTCGGCCGCCGCCGCGGCCTCCTCAGTGTCTTACCGATCGCAAAAGTGATCATTATCAGTGCAACAGTGTAGCGGAGCTGCACAGCTCTTTAGCCAGAGGAAGACTTTAGGCTGAAAGCCTCTTAGTTCTAGAGAACTAAATAGAGCTAAGGCTAAAAGCCACTTAGTTCTAAGGAACTAATTAAACGACTCAAAGTCACCCTGTTCTAAGGAACCAGGAGAGACACTTAGTCTACAAGCAATATGCCTAGGGTTCAGAAAACCAACGCACAGAGTGCAAGAACAAGGTAGAAGCTTAGAGGTTCAGAGAACCAACGCACGAAGTGCACAAGAGAACATGTCAGAACGACTTGCGATCTTAAACTCAAAATGAGAACTGATTTTATTTATGTTTTAAATTTTTTATAAATAGTCCTACTCTAAGTGCACTACACTAGATTAATTACTATAATAGTAATTATTATATGCAGACTTTGCTATTGGACGACGTATCGTCTAAACATCTGTGTATGATGTACTTAATACAGCGTTAGTGGTTTATCGAATCCCAATCGATAAGATACGGTATTACCGAATAACGTATCTTAACGCTCATACTTAATACCTCGCTAAAAGAAGTATCAAGAATACATTAATGCAATAAAGAAAAACTTCAACCGTAAACTCTCGGAATGATGTTACAACCGTCGTGTAACCCCGTTACACTCTCCCCACCTGACTGACGTTCCCATAGAATGTCACTTGACATCTTTCCTCTTTTAAGGTAGTACTTTAGCGAACGTTTAAACCTTACGGTTTGTTCACGGCACACAACATGACGCCTCCTGGCAATGAGTCACAGACTCTACGGGACCTCATTGAAGGCAACCTTGACGAAGCGGTTGATTACGAAAGTGACACCGTCTTTGTGGGACCCGATGGGTCCCCTTTATCCACCCTCACGGGTGAAGATGACACTAGTCATGCACCGAATCCGTTCCCTGAACGCGGTGTTGCAGATGCGCTAACAGCGTTACGTGACCCGCCTGACGTATCGTCAACAGCGACAATTACTATCCCACTCGACGAGCAACAGCAACAGAACATCGACGAAGGGGAAGGTGCTAAGCGCCGGAAAAAAGAATAGGTGACAAGGCTTCAGGGCCACCGACAATATAAGTTCAAACCAACTACAGTGGAAAACGCCTTAAGGAGGCATCTGGACATTCCTTCTCTGGCTGGGCCATTGGGCCTGGAGGCCATTTCGCCCGAGGATGAAGCTACGCGAACGGCTCTTCGACAACGCTATCTGGAACCCCGCAATACTACACAAAGCCAATACTTGTCACGCCTCACTAGGCAAGTGCGCGGTGTACCAGTTCCTCTCACAAAGGGTATTCCCATCCCTTCTATCCAGAAAGGGGGGCGGGAGAAACCGAGGACAAAGAGGATACGGATTTTAGCCGCTGGGCGCATTATGCGAGACGTTTAAGTAGCATGTGGGCCCTACGGGCAAGTGCCGATGTGGCAGATGTTCGACTCGAACGGAAAATGCGTTACGATTACGCTAAATTGAAGGACCGAGGAAAGTTAAAGATACTCAACAAACGCAATATGCGTCTCCTATCACAGCACTCCAACGTTTCGGCTACACTTGTAGCCGTGAGTTCACCCTAGGCTGAGGCCGATTACTCGACTACTTTTACCCACCACTACTGGTGAGGTGTGTCATCGCCAATAGGTTGGTCCTGCACAAGGCGTTCAAACATGTCCACGGCGTATGGGCAACCCTGCCGAAAGGGAACCTCGAGCTCCCACGAGTTCCACGACTCGGAATATCCCCGCCACTTCACCAGATACTGGTTTTGGCCGTGGCGGCGACGTTTCTGCAGTAGACTTTCCACATGAAACTAAAGGTTACCCTGTCCATCAAGCAATGCCGGAGGGGGCTGGTGTACCAGAACAAGCTCATGCCGAGCTACTTCTCAAGAGGTGCAGTATCTCTGTGAGACTGTGCAGTCGATGAAATCCCGCCTTAAATCGCGTGGAGGAGAGCCGAACCCGAGTGGAGGGTCAGCTGACCTTTTGGTGCAGATGATCCGTCCCGCGGCATGCCGATGAGCTCGAGGGCGAGGGCACTTAGTATCCACTTGGAACGGATCCCGATATGGTTTCCGGCATGCCGACATAGAACACGTGATGTGTACGCAATTTGCGCGGAAAATCAAGCGTATACGCTGTGACTTTCTTGGCCACTACCGTAAAAGGGTACGATTAAGCGCGGACGCACACCTTGTCTTAAAGATAGCAGACACTAAGCATTGGTAGGTAGGTTTTTAGCATTAAGTAAGACTTGGTCTCCGACCTCCATAATCATTAATACAGCTTCTGCCTTTAAAGCATCTCGCATATTCTTTTTGTTTACATCTTGACTATCAGCCATTGCATCTTGCACATGTCGTAAGACATGTAGTCGCATAGCGAAAAACGCATTTACCTGTTTCTTAACAGTACTAGGGCTGACATCAGCAAGCCCGATCGGCAACTTCTCCTCCACCAAGACCTGAACCACTCGGTGTAGCTTCAACGGAACGAGTGGGTGTGTAGGATACCATTCACATAGAACGGATTGTAGCCAGTAGAGGCGTACACGGAGTTATTGAGTGCAAACTCAATAACAGGGAGCATAGAACTCCAACAGCCAGGAGTTTCAGCATAAATGCTGCGGAGGATATCTTCAACAACGCGATTTACTCGTCTTGGTTGACCAAATACGGTCTCAGGATGAACCGCTTGGACATGTCAATCGGGTGCCAAGCACCTGAATGAGATTTTCAAATTTTACACTCGTGAAACGAGGATCACGACCGAAACAATTGCCACTAATTCAGTGTATTAGCGAAACACTTGATCGATAAACAGTTCCGCTTTACCTTCACCATCGATCGGAGTCTGGCACAGCCGCTAAGTGAGCCATCTTGTTTAAGCGGTCAACGAAGACCACAATACCTGTATTGCCATGCGAATCTTTCGGTAGACCAAACACAAAGTCCATACTAATGAACTCCCCAGCACACAGTGGAATAGGCAAACTAGCCAGCGGCGCTGCCGAATGGGGCGAGGGTTTTACCCGTTGGCAAGTTTCAAACGTACGTACAGCACGTGCTCACCCATTTATATAATTTGGACCACCAATAACTTTGGCATACTGCACCGTACTTCTTTTCACGATCCAGATGACCCCGATAGCGGTGTCGTATCTCATTGAAGGTGAGATACTTCAGATCATCGTCATGACCCTCTACAATGCGCGAAGGATCCGCCACATCCGTACAATAGTAAAACAGCCTCTGGTCGATTGAATATCGATGGAGGCTCGCACGCGTAAATCGTGCCGACAATTTAATGTCGAGGTCTTTTGAACTCATCACTACCAAAGGCATGTAGCGACGCTATGCAATGATCTTCTTTAGAATACGCGCCGTACGAATGAGATCTGCTTGATAGAAGACGACAACGTCGTAACATGAGCAAGCTCATAGTCAGGTCTGCGGGACAACGCATCAGCCAAAGCGTTTTGTTTGCCGAGCTTATGTTTCCCTCGGGTCATATTCAGCAAAGAAACGCGGCAATATCTGACTGGCATTCTCACAAAGAGATGGGCGGCCAGATGCAGTGCGTAAAGACGCATGATCGGGATGGATCACAAAAGGCTTCAGGCCAGCAGATGAACTCGTTCGGCCCGAGAACGCCTTCATCGCAAAGTAAGCTCGCACCATCGCAGGCGAGATGGTTTCTTTCTGCAGCTTTCAACTAAGCGAGATTCAAAAGCGATTACACGCGCTCACGGCCTTCATCATCTGATTGTAACAGAGCACTGCCAATGGCAAAATCGATGCGTCTGAACTGACATGAAGCAGTCGATCAGGGTCTGGCGAAACCAAAATAGGAGCATGTGGAAGGCTCGCCTTCACCGCTTGAAAAGCATCCTCATGTTCGGCCTGCCAACACCATTCCACATCCTTTTAAGAAGTGGATAATAGCCAGTGCATATCAGCGTAATTCTCGCTGTACTTGTGTAAGTAATTAGCAGGCCCAAGCCATTGAGCAAGTCTTCTGAGACTGTGGAACGAGCCAATCGACTATGGCTTTGACCTTGGCGGGATACGCTTTTTAGGCCCCGTTTTCCAATGAAGCACCCTAGATTTTGAATTTCTTCGGCCCCGAAGATGCACTTAGATGCATTAGCATATAGCTTATTAGTGCGCATGCACTCGAGCACAACTCGTAAATGAACTATATAGTTATCAATATCTGACCGCCCATTCCAGCTCGGCCCTGGACAAAAATGTCATCAAGTACGTCTGTGCATAATTTAATGGGGTCGAAACAGTTGCGTCACCAAACGGTTAAACGTAGCGGAGCATTCGATAGCCCCTGGGGCATCACCAACCAATCCCAAACGCCACCGCCCAAATTACTAGCAACACGGGTATGGCCGGAGCTGCACGGCTCTTTAGCCAGAGGAGACTTTAGGCTGGAAGCCTCTAGTTCTAGAGAACTAAATAGAGCTGAGGCTAAAAACCGCTAGTTCTAAGGAACTAATTAAACGACTCAAAGTCACCCTGTTCTAAGGAACCAGAAGACAT